GCCCTTTTCCTGTAGCCAGTGTCCTGCGAGTCTCCCGAATTCCGTCTGCAGACATATGTAACCCTCGCTCCGTCATCGCCCCCTTATAAAGTATCCTAAACTATTTGCGCCCCGCTTTTGCGCAGGGGTTGGGTACGTCGCCAGGGTAATTTCATTTTTCGTACAAAATCCCCCTGTAGGGGGACAGGCCCGACTTAAGCTTCGTGGGCCCTGGAAACGGCAGCGCCGCCATCCAAGATCGTTTTCGAAACCACAGCCTCTCGATCGATGAACGGCAGAAGCATGGTTCATCGAAGCGATGAGAACACAGTTCACCGAAAGGGCCTGGGCAGTCCAGGGATCCGAAGGACGTTCGGGGCCAGTTCGAAAATGGTTAGGATCCGGTAACGAAGCGGAGATCTGGACCATCGAAGAAGAAAAACGGCATAAACAAACTTTCGACCGTCCGTGCGGATTTCTTGGATCTGCGCTGGACCTCTGGCGGCGCCGCTGGCGCCGCCCCTAACGCGCTCAGCGCGCTAGGGAACGGGGTCCAGCGCAAATCCAAGAAATCAGCGCTAATGTCGTTTTCGTTCCTCTGGACCAAGCCCCCGCCAGGGGAAACGAGAACGGTAAAACACCGCGCCATAAGCGTCAACCAAATGGCACCAGAAGCGGTTAGAAAAACGCAAGAAGTCCTGGAGGCTTCTCGCTGCCCTCGAGCTCCCATGGGCCCTTCCTAGGCACTGTCACCGTCACACACTGCTCGGGGCCATGCGCCGAGGGGGGGCAGCGAGATTTGAGGATCGAGGGTTCGAGAACCGAAGGTCCTCGGATAGAAGGTTTCGGAGGCTTCCAGAGGCTTCCGGAGGCTTGCGGAGGAGGCTCTGGAGGCCTTCAGGGATCCCTGGAGAGCAGGTCGAGGCGGAGGGGGGCGATGACAGTGAGGCTGGAGGATCCAGGTTTTCGAGTCCCTGGTCGAGGGTTCGTGGTCGAGGGCTCGAGGATCGAGGTTTTTGGGAGTCTTTGTTGGTGGGCGTCTGGAGAATGGCAGAGGACTCGCGGGGACCTCTGGAGACCTCCTCACCGCTGGAATCGTAGTGGCGAGGGAGTCTCTAGCCCCTCGCTGGCCTGGGTCGGAAGGCCCATGTCCACGATGGGGAGGAGAGAGGAGAAGGAGGAGGAGGAGCAGGAGCACGAGGAGAGGAGAGGAGGATACACAAGCGGAGGAGTGGAGGCGGCGGAGGAGGAGGAGAAGGAGCATAAGGAGGAGGAGGAGGAGGAGGAGGAGGAGGAGGAGGAGGAGGAGGAGGAAGGGACGATGACGATGATGATGATGCTGATGATGATGATGATGCTGATGATGAGGATGATGATGCTGATCGATGATGATGATGATGATGATGATGATGATGATGATGATGATGGTGGTGGTGGTGGTGATGATGATGATGGTGATGGTGCTGAGGAGGAGCAGGATGATGATAAGGATGATGACAATGACGATGACGATGATGATGATGATGAGGATGAGGATGAGGATGATGATGATGATGATGATGATGATGGTGGTGATGATCATGGTGATGGTGATGGTGATGATGGTGATGATAATGCTGATGATGATGATGATGATGGTGATGGTGATGATGGCGATGATCATGCTGATGATGATGATGATGATGATGATGATGATGGTGATGGTGATGATGGCGATGATGATGCTGATGATGATGACGATGATTCTGATGATGATGCTGATGATGATGCTGATTGATGATGATGATCGTGATCGTCGTGGTGATGATGATGATGGTGGTCATGATGATGACTATGATGCTGATGCTGATCATGATGCTGAAGATGCTGATGACGATGATGATGCTGATTATGATGATGCTCATTGATGATGATGATACTGATGACGATGATGATGATGATGATGATGATGATGATGATGCTGATGATGATGATGATGCTGATGTTGATGATTCTGATGATGATGCTGCTCATGATGATGATGATGAGGATGAGGATGATAATGAGGATGATGACGATTTGGATGTTGTGAATGATGATGATGATGCTGATGATGATGATGATGATGATGATGATGATGATGATGATGATGATGATGATGGATGATGGATGATGATGATGATGTGATGATGCTGCTGCTGACGATGATGATGATCTGATGGATGGATGATGATGATGATGATGATGATTATGTGATGATGCTGATGATGATGATGATGATGATGATGATGATGATGATGATGCATGATGATGATGATGATGATGATGATGATGATGATGATGATGATGACCAGGAGGAGGAGGAGGAGGAGGAGGAGGAGGAGGAGGAGGAGGAGGAGGAAAAGGAGGAGGAAAAGGAGGATGGCGATGGCGATGTCGATGGCGATGGCGATGGCGATGGTGATCGCCGCCGCCGTCGCCGCCGCCGCCGCCGTCGTCGTCGTCGTCGCCGTCGTCGTCGCCGTCGTCGTCGTCGTCGCCA